GGTGACCGCGACCCATTGTTCTTTAATTGTGTCTATAAAACCGGTACTCGACGAGTTAAAGTCATCTAAACAATCGACAGGAATCCACAAACAAGCTTAAAATCTGTTGGAAAGGGCCACCCACCACATTATAAGTGTAACAACAAATGGACTCAAATAGTGCTTATGGAGTAGCGGAGGTCCCAAATGGCATTTACTAATAAACATAACAATATCAAAGAATAGACACATAAAAAAGAAAATGGATTGACTTTACATTCTGGTTATTTTGGTGTAATTTCCCTAAAAAGTGTATTTTGTATATCTTTTGAGAGTCAAGAGGCTTAAACAAAGCTTAAATCCCTCACCTGTTCTTAAAAATCAGAAACAGATGCTTTTTGATATAAGCATAAACACAGGGTGGGTGTTATGTAGTTCTGACGTGGTCCTATTTAAACACAGGGTGGGTGTTATGTAGTTCTGACGTGGTCCTATTTAAACACAGGGTGGGTGTTATGTAGTTCTGACGTGGTCCTATTTAAACACAGGGTGGGTGTTATGTAGTTCTGACGTGGTCCTATTTAAACACAGGGTGGGTGTTATGTAGTTCTGACGTGGTCCTATTTAAACACAGGGTGGGTGTTATGTAGTTCTGACGTGGTCCTATTTAAACACAGGGTGGGTGTTATGTAGTTCTGACGTGGTCCTATTTAAACACAGGGTGGGTGTTATGTAGTTCTGACGTGGTCCTATTTAAACACAGGGTGGGTGTTATGTAGTTCTGACGTGGTCGTATTTAAACACAGGGTGGGTGTTATGTAGTTCTGACGTGGTCCTATTTAAACACAGGGTGGGTGTTATGTAGTTCTGACGTGGTCGTATTTAAACACAGGGTGGGTGTTATGTAGTTCTGACGTGGTCGTATTTAAACACAGGGTGGGTGTTATGTAGTTCTGACGTGGTCGTATTTAAATTCAAAATTTTGTAAAGTTTGTGTGTGTTTGTCACATTACAACGGCTGGATGGACCGAAGTGAAATTTGAAACAAAGATAGATTTTGGTCTGGAGGAACATACAGGCTACTTGTTACCCCTGGGAACGCGGGCAAAGTCGCTGGCAGAGGTTAGTATGAAATAAATTAACTGAATACATTTTATTCATAGACTAGTTTCTGCCCACGGTTTCGTTTAAAGTTTAAAACTTTAATTCAATGGGCAAGTTGACAAAAGATAAAAATGCACAAAAAACGACGAAATTTTGCACGATTTTTTGCTGGTCACAAATACCTATGTACCTTATAATTCAAATTTTTAGGTTTCTTGAAAATTACAAAATGCTTCATACATAGTTGCATCCCCTGTTTTAGGAACGCGGTGGTTTAAAAAGAGACAGAAAGTAGCCTACGTTATTTTCAATCCGTTAAACTAACTATCTCCACTAAAACAAATCGCACCAATTTCTAGCTACGTTCTGTCACGAAAGACGGACGAACAAACAGACACAGTGTCTGTAGGCCTAGGAGGCTGGCTAGGCTTAGGCTTTTGATTATTTGCAATTTGCATGGCATCGGGACACCCCGGTCAATATTCTACCTCACAGACAGAATGCAAGTCTTACTGTTACATTGATGCACAAACACACTACTCAATAATGAAAACAATACAAGTCTCTTTCTCATTTACCACGGTCACTAATGAACAATGAACATATACAACGTACAGGTGTCCTTGTCCAGCGGTCACCGTGCTATGGCGTAATGTCGCTGTTTTGCCTGCTTTGTATATATGGAATAAAGATTATCTTTCTTTCTTTCTATAAAACATCACGCTACGACCAACAGGAAGTGAGCAGCGCGCAAGTGACACTACGCGGGCGTAGAAGGATAATAAATTGTTGGGAACTTTGTGTTATAACTGGCTTCGAGTGTTACGTGACTTTCTTCTAAGTACTGATAAATGTAAGATTACGTAATTTATATCGATAAACATGAAACATCTAAACATCTACATAGTGGCAGTCTGGTAAAGTTGCTGGAAAAGCTAACAAGTTTTGCGAAAGTCTCTACTTACGTGGTGGGTTTTGGTACATGACGATGTGCGTGAGGGTCGAAGTCCTCTTCACTCTCACCAGGCAACACTGGAACAGTGTTTCTAGATTATACCTTGCACAAGTTCATAAGACTAGATGGATACAAGTGCGGTACTCACGTGCGGCCTTAGCGTCCTCGAACCTCGTCGCTACATACTTATAGAAGTACATGGCACCGGCTGCTCAAGGTACCGCGGCCCGGAATGCGGCTGCTGGGCCCCTACTCCACGTGGTGCATTACTCGGCTGTGATGCATGCAACCTAAAAATAATGACACGAGTACAAGCCCGTACGTCACCTGCTACTTGCCACATGTCATTCGCATGTACACAGAAACCATAGACATCAACGTGCACCGTGCCGTCCGGAAGATACTTTGGAACTTTGAAATATAATATTATCAATCTACATGATCTACACTCTACCGGGTATCCCTAAAAGTATGGATCAAATCGAATAGAGGAGGTCATTCCTTAAGGTTTTGCTCTGGGAAGGGTGTCCCATTCTTAACGATTCTAAAGCAATTTTCGTTTTGTTCAGTAAGTTCATAATATGCTCAAAGAAACGAATGACGCATGTCGTTGCAGCTATCTAGTGGGGCTTAGGCTACGTTTCCACAGAACCTGAGCTGCGCGGAGCTGAACAGAGACTTATTAAAAACTAGCTTCTGCCAGCGGCTTCGCCCGCGATCCCAGGGGTAAAATGCCTATGTATCACTTCAGACCATAATCTACCTCTGTTCCGAATTTCATTCCGGTCCCTTCAGTCGTTTTAATATGACTGAGTAACAAACATACACATAAACTCACATATTTTCATTTATAATATCGAGTCAAGCTAATTTCAACCATTGGCGTTTCGGTTACAGCGTAAAGTCTATGAATGAGTATTGTAAACGTTAGAGTAGACAAATACAATCAGAAATCACCGAATTGCTAAGCTATCTGGAGTTTCACGTGTTATTGTGAGTCAACCATAAAAGATAGACATATGCTGTCGAGGAATATTTTTTATATAATTTTAAGGAAAATATTTCCGTCATACATGATTTCCATGCAGCTTTAACCTATAAGCCTGCACACACGACGGAAGCTTAAAAAATGGAGTAACTTCTCCCGTTTTCCCAATATTTCCCTTCACTGCTCTACTCCTATTGATCGTAGCGTAATGAAAAGTATACTATAACCTGCCCAAGATTATGAAGAATAATTGTGCCAAATTTCGTTAAAATCCGTCGAGTAGTTTTTGTTTCCATAACGAACATACAGACAGACAGACAAAAATTTTACTAATTGCATTTTTGGCATCAGTGGCGATCCCTAACCACCCCTTGATAGTTATTTTTTAAATATATTTTATGTACAGAATTGACCTCTCTACAGATTTATTATAAGTATAGATAGATAGATAAGTTATAAAATAAAACCCGACTACAAATAAACATGCTCTAAAAAGTATCAAACAAGAAAATGTTCTTAGTGGTCGTGTGCCACATAGCTCTGCAGTGCATAACAATAACTTATTTTTTATTTCTATTATTTTGGGGTATAAGTACAAATAACCAAATAAGTTTGGCTCTACTACTAAGGCATGATTACTTTCAATTTTTTATCTATTTATTTAAGGAATTTGGCGAGATAATACAATTTATAATATTTGAAATGTTAACTAGCACATTTCATTTGATACCAAACACCAAATCATGCAAACTTTTTTGATTCACGATCTCTTTGGCCTCTAGAGGGCGCCATGTGCAATTAAATAATTATAATTTTAAGCAGTATATAACCAGCAAAATATTGTGACGCTTTTATTGGTACACTATTTATCAAATTATGAGCAGCAGTTTAGAAGATAGGAGGGAACGGATGAACATACATAAAATAAAGAAAGAAAAACTTTATTTCACTCGTTACAAACAGGTGACACATACAGTTCATAAATACTAACGGGTACATTATCATGTCCTAAGCCTGCGGCGGACCAGTTGAAATGTAGGGTTCGGTAAAATTTACAAGGCCGTCCATCCTAGAAAACGGCGCGGGGGAGCGAGAGAGCTCCCTCATGAACCACTTTGGGAGCCGTTGTGGAAGCAGACCGAACAACTCCAGCTAAGGGGTCGCGGGTAGATCAGCTGGTTGTCTATATACTCGTGGTTATAAAAAGCTGCCACCTCGGGGTGACACCTCGCGGACGAGCACCGTAACGTAAGCACGCTGCCGGCTAGCTAGGCGGTAGGTAGTAAACCTCGTAACAAATCCGTGCCGGAGCCGCGTCTGAGCTGCGCCGGAGCCGTGGCGGTTGAAGGTCGGCGCAAGTATAGTCAACAATACGTACCTACGATGCGACGTTATTCCGCTGGCGCCTAGTGCGCGGCTCGACTACACCTCGAGTGGACTTCGCGCTGATCACCCGCCGTCGGCTGTTTGTATTATACGACATACATTTTTATTATTATCAGATTTAAAGTTGATATTTAAATGACAACTTAATTGCTTAGAGGCGTGCTTATTAGATGTACGATAACCTTTAGTGTGATATGACCTTACGTCCGCCTTTGTTCCAACGTACCTGTTGCAAGTTGTAATGTTTCGATATTAGCGAAAATGTGGTACAATGTTTAATCCGTACAATTTCACTGAACACTACTTGCTGGACACCCTGTAGATATATTATGATTACTGTTCATTGAACGTCCAATAAGACCAAGATTACAGTTATTATACAAAGCGCATTATTTTCATAATGCCTATGTCAAGCTTAATCAACTTTTGCTCTGAGGGACTCATGTAGCGCTAAGCTCGCTTGTCGCAGTGGTAAGTGCCCCTTTTCGACGTCCTTCCCGCTTGACGCTAGTGCTAACTGGACACGGAAGTATCGAGAGGTACACACCTGTTCCAGATGCGGGCAGCGATAGGAAACACCCGGGTGGCGTCAATGCGAGAACCATCCGGGGACACGGTGGGGCATACGGCATTGCCCTTAACATTTACATATCCGAGTAGAAGGCATAAATAAAAGGTGGTGTAATGTGTTGTAAAAGTACATATATTGAGATGGGATCACTCAGCGGGGCCGGGGACGAGGGCTGCGGGGGCTTCGAGGGCTTCGAGGGCTTCGAGAACTGCGCGGACTGGCGCGGTCCAGCGCGCGGTTGAGGCGCTCGATGTGGCGCAGCTGGCGCAGCACGAGCCGCACGTGCGAGTCGCGCAGCGCGCGCACTCCGCCCAGCCACTCGTCCGTCGCACGCTCTCGCTCGCCCGTCGTGGCTAAGGTTTATAAACAGGTCGCAAAATTGAATAATGAAAGGAAAACTCGTCAAATCGTTAAATATAAGTCCAACATAAAGTGGACGGAAACATAAAGTTGAGTAAAAATTCCTTAATTGGAATATAGCTGACTGCATTTAGTTACTTTCGCTTCAAATTGGTGTTCCAAACGTGGTGGCAACTAGCTTTTAGTATGTGATTTTTTGCAACATTTCCTCACAATGGTTGAAGAATCGATGGGAATTACCTTTCTGGCACTCGTCTAGCGGAACGTGCCTGCGGACAATGTTCAAATGTTCAAATATTAGATAGTTTCTTGCCAATACCAATACCAATACCTAGTTAGCTAAATACTCTCAGCTCAGTTTCGTTACAGTTTGACCACTTTTGTTTGAAAGCTTCACAGCCAGGTGTCAATGTGCCAAAGTGGACTATTTTATTTTACTCAAATATATTTTATAGTCATTACTCATTAGCAACCCAAATAAACTTTGTCATTGACAGAAATATAGATAACATCGGTTAAATATTTTAGGGAAGTATAGGACATTTTATTGTTATTTTGTTGATGTAAAGGATATTGATAAATTCTACCCCTAAGGGGATAAAAGGGAATGAGAGTTTGTATATATCTTTTTTGCCATTGAATTTAGAATCATTGAATCTTTTTGAATTACATTCGGTAAAACGATGATTTGACTAAATGGTTTTTGATTGAACTAAATAGTTTTGAGTTAGGCTTTATATTCCTTAGTCTAAATGCTATTTTAATAGCTACGATAGGGGTTGTACAGTTTCGACATTGAATCATTATTAAGATTTTATTGAAATTGCATTGGTTTCAAGAGTAAGCACCCTGAGCACCGGTAGCTTGGATTTCTCCCGCAGGGCTACTGCTTTTTATATTTTTAAATGTTTTTTTTTATCAAATATTTAAAAATATATACTTAGGTCAAGTATAGAAATAAATAAAGGAAATAATAATTATTAATTCCGAGTAAGTGTGGGGGCGGGGCTTTTTAAATGCAAAAACCCTCCACAATAGTGAAGTGTGCAGTGTCCGGGAGTATTTTTGAAAATGGACCTGGGGATGCATAGAGATGTTGTCGCTATGGACAAAGGGCTCACTCAGCTCTCCTTGGCTAACGAGAACTGGAGAGAATCTTTAATACTGAGCACTAATGATCGCAGGAATGTGTGGCAAAGTAAGGAGTTGCACGGACGCTACTACCGGGCCTTACATGGGCCAATACGAATTTCTTAACGTCCGTTTCCTGGCTACGGTTTAACTTATTTGGAGAAACGGAAGGTTTTGTCTATGCAATTATGGACGAAGTTATGTTGATGAACAACTATCGAAGATATAAAGGATGAAACTGTTGACATTTGTCGGGCATGTCATCATCTCGGGGAATCCATCCGGCATATAATTTAGGGTTGTTCTCACCTAGGTAATGGAGAATACTTGCATAGACATAATCTTGTAACCAGGATCATTCATCAACAACTTGCTTTGAAATATAAACTTGTAGAATCTTAAGTGCCGTATTATACGTACCTGCATGACCCAGTTTTTTAAAAATGGAGATGTCACACTGTATTGGGATCGAACTATCTCACAGACAGGACGATTGTTACAAACAAACCTGACATTGTGGTGATAGATCGACCAAGCCGTCGCACAATTATAGTTGATATAACAATCCCACATGACGAGAATCGTAAAAGGTGAAAAAGATAAAGCAACTAAATATCTTGATTTAGCTCATGAGATTGTCGACATGTGGGATGTGGATTCAGCAGTCATTGTGCCGATGGTCGTATCTGCACAACGGCCTCTTTGCTAAAAGCTTCGACCACCATCTGAGTAGGCTAGCGTTAGACGGTTGGGTCAAGGGCCTGATGCAGAACGCAGTACTTCTGGACACGGCGCGTATTGTCCGGAAATTCCTTTCTCTGGAGCCCTGACCACCGGTAGCTTGGATTTCTCCCGTTACTAGTGGGCTACTGCTTTTTATATTTTTAAATATTTTTTTTTATATAATCACATATTTAAAAATATATAAGTCAAGTATAGAAAAAATAAATAAAGGAAATACAATTGTATTTATTGTATTGTGTTTGTGCCTGGTGTTGTACCGAATAAATTATTTTTCTTAATTTTTTACTATCGGAACACTCACGCATTAAGCATGTACGCATCGTGTGTTGACCAGTGGTTCAATGCCATGTTTATATAGTATCCTTTGTTAAATAAATAATTCCAACATGAACACCGTGCCTTTTATCAAAAATTAAATAGTCGTTACTGATGCTACTTTGTCACTATTTGTTGGCCATATGTAGAGCTGTTGGTTTTCCAATACATAAATAAATAGATAATTATAATAATTACATAAAACAGAAACTGTCTAAAACTGCTACCAGCACATCGCAAAACGATAACGAAGGTGGTGCCACAAAGCCCAGAGAGGTGCCCAATAGCACACGCAGCGCAGGTAGGTTGCTTACGCCTCCTATGTTATGTGAGCACGACACATAGCTTCACACACAAATTATCAGTAGAAACCTAAGTACCGCATGAATGTACGGCTAGGGACGAGCACGTCGAGCACCTATAAAAAAAATAGACTTTCTAACAAAACCAGTCACTTAATAGTTCTCCGAGCTTGAGTGGCCGCGTGTCGCGGACGGCGACGCTGTCGATGGCGTGCACCGTTGTCTACGCTGTCCGTGCTTCCGGTACTGTCTGTGCTACGTTCCTTCGCCAAGGCCAGTGGCAGCAAATCCCTGTGATCAATAAAAAAGAGGATCAATTTTCTTTATCTTTATACTAACTAACTTTTGCCCGCGACTTCCTCCACGTTGTATTATGACTTCTGACAGAATTTGAGCTTTTGAAGTAGTCTTTTCCAAAGTATATTCTATGGCTGTATTAAACATCATCAATCGATCCAGTACCTATGTAAAAATAAGTTGCTTATCGCGAATTTAATTTATTTGTGATTTTAAAAAATAAACAATCCCAAAGGGTTTTACTCGTACAGTGCCCATTCCCATGAGGTTTTAGTGCTCAAACTATCCTATGTCCTTTTCCGGGCCTCCACCATCGTTGTACTGAATTTTAATGTAATAGGTATAGTGGATCAAAAGATACGAGTCCCGGGATTTTAACGCATAGTTCCTGTTCCCGTAGGATATCTGGGATAGAAATATTAAACGTCGTTTGCTAGGTTTCAGACTATCGTTATACTGAATTTCACTCAAATAGGTTCAGTAGTTTAACAGATAGAAGTCCGGTATTTTACTACATAGTTCCCGTTCTCGTGAGACTGCTGGCATGAACACTAAAATACATTCTTTCTCGGCTCACAAAATATCGTTGATCTAAAATACACTCGAATAGATTCAGTGGTGTAAGATATAGAGAGTAACGCGTAGTTTACGTTCTCGTGGGACTCCCGGGTTTATCAAGCATCAACCTGTCAATGTACCAAAGGACCATGGGTACTTTAGTATGAACACTGGACCCATTTTCAAAGTCGTCCAACAGTGATGAAACTTGTGTAATATGAAAGCTCTTGACGAGTACTTCATTCCATCTTATGGCAGCTAAGTTCAAATCCAGCGCGAATCACAGGGACGATTGTTGCGATGCATGACGAGTTTGTTATGCACTTGTTTTATTATTTCAATGTAAATACTATTTTTAGATTTTAGAATGTATAAATTAAATAATGATAAGTATTGATTTCATGTTGTGTAATCTTTAAGCTGAACTTCCACCGTCCGCTAAATGACAATGACCAAATTTGTATGGAGCGTGGTGCCTTTTCATTTTTTCGCGGCAGTTGATCGGATGTGGAAAAACTGATGCAGAATAACATTACAAACAAAAAATATATGGGCTCTTATATCAAAAACACAGTCCGAACCGAGTTAAATCAGTTCAAAGATATGAAAATAGTGCTATACCTCTTATTTTTTTGATGGTAACCGTATACAACGCATATTTCTTCAATTACTTGTCAAAAATATTTTGTAATAAATGTTTATAAATGATTTCAAGGAATATAATAAAGCTTATTGTGGACTTTTTTACTTGTCTTTTTTTTGTTTTATAAGGCCTCGGAATCAGAACAAAGCGAACCATTAACTGGCCACTGCTGAAGTAAAAAAAAACATTTCGCTTGATTGGCTAGTGTGTTCACGTAATATGTTATGGTTTATGGCCTATGACAGATTTTAATGATCAATATCCTCTCAGTCGAAAACCCGCAAAATACTTTAATGAGCCCTATCATGAAATGCTATGTTTATCAGCTGCGGCGTCGGTAGCGGATTGAGTAGCGGCAGTCGTCAAAACACGAAAAGTTTATTTTTCTGTCTACTTCTCCCGTCTTAATTCCGATTAGTAACTACTCTAACTACAGTTAATACTTTAATCTATAGCTAGCATAAGATTCTGTACGAAGATATCATCATTCAGTCACAAAGTGGTGGACAATATTTCGACTGACCGCATTATATGAAAAAATTATGCGCTCGTCTGACGTATAGTCCATCACTTTACAAAGTCGACGGTTTCCTTTCTTCATAAGATTATGCTAACTATAAAGTAGATGAGTCTATCTAAGTATGTGTGTCCGAATATTTAATAAATTGCCGATAACATTAAAAACATTTAACCTTAGACTATTTAAAATTAAATTATATGTATGGTTGAATGAAAATATTTTTTATAGCATTAAGGAATTTTTTGAATATAAATAATAATGTATAACTTATAACTACGAGTGTAAGTTAGTTAAAATAAGTTTTAAGTTAAAATTTGCATGCTTTATTTATTAAGCAAAACATGATAATCTATTATATTGTAACTATAACATCTTTGTAATACCATGTTTTTACGCAAATAAATGTCTTTATCTTTATCACCAGGAGTCAACGGCAAAAAAATAATACTTTATTAGATGTTTGGACGGCTACCACTACTCAACCCACCACTGATTCCATAGCTGACACTCATGAAGCTTCATGACACAACTCCTAGAAGTATCCCACTAGTTATCGACTGAGAGAAAATAGGTAATAAAAATTAGTGCCTGGCAATATGGATATATTGTGGTGTGATATGGTTATCCTGTGCCCGGCGTATAGTGGCGCGCAATTTGAAGTTAGGAATTGTTACAAAAATATGAATAATTTGAATAAAAAAATCAAAGTACAATGTTTAACTCCAGCTCCTTTCAACGCTCATAACTCAGTCCAGACTGAGATTTCTATATATGAGCCCATAGAAAATTTCATTTGTAATGTCATTCTAGATAATATTTTCCATAAATCATCGACTGCCGCCAGAAAAAAGAAAGGCACCAGTTTTAGTCAATGCCCTTTACTTGGTTTAGTTTATGGCTCGCATTGTTTTATTTTTCATACATGTGGTAGCTTAGCGGCTAGTAAGTAGACGCACTAAATTACCAATGGATGGATCATTAGCCAAGGTATCCGCCCGCCGCTATTCGAACTATTTTGTAATGGGTGTCGTTCTCATGGTTTTCAAGGGCGGTAATAATAATAATAATAAAAGCAGAAAGCAGTACTTCTGGACACGGCGCGTATTGTCCGGAAATTCCTTTCTCTGGAGCCCTGACCACCGGTAGCTTGGATTTCTCCCGTTGCTGGTGGGCTACTGATTTTTATATTTTTAAATGTTTTTTTTTTTTTATATATAATCAAATATTTAAAAATGTATTAGTCAAGTATACGAATAAATAAAGGAAATAATAATAATAGGTGGTGCATAGTCATAGGTGCCATAGTCATCCATAGTTCCCAATTTTCCAGTCCACAGCAACCCATCCATAGCCCTATCTTTTTTTTTTCCATTATCCTCAATAGTTTTACACTAACCGGAGACTGTCCTTGGGTGCATTTCCATAGTGCATACAGGGATAGTCGCCGGTTTGTGTGTCCATTACATTTATATTAAAGTTGTCTAAAGGGCCTCTACGCAGTTGGCTTCGGCCCCTCGCATGCCTCCCAAATGACCGGGACCCTGTGGTCCCGTGAATGGTAAAGACATACAATAATAATAATAATAAAAATGTTTATTTGGTGTAAAAAGCCAGATTACAAAATAAATCTTACTATCTAAAAAAAAAGTCTAAAATTTATATGTAAAACCTGAACTAGGCCCAAGCCTGTGTTTCAGGTTAAAAATGTGCTGAAATATTTAAAATACAATAACATTGCTTATAAAACTAAATATTTTATGTCTAAATTAAATTAAGTTGGTATCTAAGTATAACAGGTGCGCGTGTACAGTTTCATAAACAAACGTAAGCAAAAATAACTAAGTCAACTATAACAAAAATTATTTGCTTACTTCAAGTAATTCTTCGGTTTCATCGTATGTTAAGGTGTGTACATAATTATGTAATAGGTTTTTACAGTGAAAGTGATTGAGGCTATAAATATTTAATTCTCTATTTATTCTATTGTATAAAAATGGGCCAAGAAAGATAAAGAATCTTTTTATGAAAGCATGTTTTGACACTGAGGTTGAAGTGCAAACTATATCATTCCGTCTTTTGTTAGTAAGATTGTTAATATCGAAGCTGAGTAGTGAGTGTTGTTTGAGTATTAGTTGTACAACATAGATTTGGCGAACAGTTAAAACTTTGCAGGATCTATATAGCATGGATGTAGGAAAGAGAAAGGGATGGGAAAATGCAACTTTCAGGATGGCTCTCTGAGCACGTTCTAGAGGGAGTATAATCGTTTTTGATGCGCCACCCCAAGACGTAACACAGTACTGGATAATTGACTGACATAATGCTAGGTAGATTTGAGTGATTAATTTGATATCTCCTATGTGTCTAATTTTTTTAAAAATATGCATTAATTTCCTGACACGTGCAACCAAAGCGTTGATGTGTTGTTTGAAACAGAGAGTTTCATCAATTGTGATACCTAGATATCTGATGGAAGTAGTTTTTACTATACAAGGGCAGTTGCATGTACCGACTTGACTAATTGTACATTTATGTGCGTATAATTGGGGTGTAACAGAGGTAATTGGACTCTTGCGCATAGAAAAGTGAATAAATTTTGTCTTTTCCGCATTTAGTGTTAGTAGATTAGAGCAAAGCCAACTATTAACTGAATTGAAAGTCAATTGAGCATTACAGAACAGTTCATTGACGTTATTGGATGAAAAAATGAGGGCCGTGTCGTCAGCATATGATATTAGTTTCCCATGCATCTCGATATTACACAAATCGTTGATATAGATCAAAAATAGGGTAGGACCAAGAATGCTCCCTTGAGGCACTCCAAAACCCGTATTTTTCTGAAATGGGCTTGTGACGTCATCTATTCTTACACACTGGTAACGGTCATCTAGATAATCAGCAAAGAGGTTCAGTTGTGTGCCTCTGATACCCATACATTCCAACTTCTTTAGAAGCAGTGGAATAGACACAGTATCAAAAGCTTTGGCAAGATCAATAAAAATTCCCAGAACGTGGTTGCCTTTGCCGAGTTCTTCTGATATGAAATCTGTGAGTGTGTGTACTGCATCAGCTGCGGACAATTTTGCTCTAAAACCAAATTGCAGTGGTGACAAGAATTTATTCATTTCTAGGTAATTTACCAATCTGATGTTAATAATCTTCTCAAGAATTTTAGATATCGATGGCAGTAGTGAGATAGGCCTATAATTATTTACTAGATTCTTGTCACCTGATTTGAATATAGGGACAACCACTGCCCTTTTAAGACATTTTGGAAAAATGCCTTTAGAAAGACATTCTCGAAAAACATGAGTCAGGGGTGAGACAAAAATTTCCTTATATGTTTTCAAGATTTTATTGCTGATCCCATCACAGCCAACTGCACAATTGTCTTTCATTCCAGTTATGATTCGTGCAATTTCCTGTTCGTCTGTATCCAATAAAACGAATGATTTTTTAGTATTTGAGTGTAGTAAGGTTGTATTAGTCCGGGTTGTAGAGTCTAACTGCAACTGTTGAGCGAGGTTTCTACCCACATTTAAAAAGTAGTTATTTACATTGTTAGCAGACTGAAGCGAAGTAGATTCTGTTAGTAGTAAATTCGAACATGATTCTCGTTGTTTGGACGTATAAGTTACATTTTTTATGTGTTGCCAAAGCCTCTTACTATTTTTACCCGCCTGATGTAACGCGCCTTTATCGTAATCGATTTTAAGCTTCTTCAGCAGATTATTGCAAAAGTTCCTGTATCTTTTGTATGTTAATTGTAGATCAAAATTATCAGGTGAACGTTTTGCTCTACGATGTAGTTTGTCCCGGTGTCTGATACATCTAACAAGCCCAGGCGTAATCCATGGCTTTATGTTGTAATGTCTGTTATTAGTTTTTATTACTGTTGTAGTACGATGAATAGCTTGTTCAACGTTATTTATTAAATACGACATCGAGAGGTTGACATCAGCAGAATTATAAATCGGTGCAAAGTCGATATTGCGTAAAACATGTTCGAGTTTCTTTAGGTTTAATTGTGACCTAGTTCGGTGACGATTTTGCTTCGGAAGCGTGAAGTTAAGGATAAGCAGAACGGCATGATGATCGGTTAATGTAGAGTTAGTAACAAGGCTAATATAGTTTGAGTTGGATTTAACCATCATGTGATCCAGACAGGAGCCACTTTGGTGTGTTGACAATTTATGAGCAGCGAGGAGTCCATGAAATGCACATAAATTAAGATAATCCTGTATTCCTGCATCAGAAATCTCAGAATTGATATTAATGTTTATGTCACCTGTTAGTACAATATTTCTAAAGGAGGTTAGTGTTTCACATGTCTGGTTTAAGGAATTGAGAAAGGAATCTAAATTTCTAGTGGAAGGTGGCCTGTAAATAGCTATTATTGCTGTAATTGTATCTACCTTAATGACCAAACAATTGCATCCTGGTGTATTAGGTTCCTCTACAGTAACTCTTAATGACTCTTTTGCATAGACAACCACACCTTCATTTTGGCTAGTATTCACGGTATTACAAAAGGAGTTATATCCCTGAATATCAGGTAGGTTAACACATTTACTTTTAAGCCAACACTCTGTTAGAATGATTATGTCACATGAGAAGTTAAGTCTTCCTAGAAGAACATGAAAATTATCTATATTTTTGTATAAGCTACGAATGTTTTGAGTGAGAACAGTTAGTGACTTTGGGAAGTTGGATACATAGCTTTTGCAATCTTCAACCTCACAAGAAGTAGATATATTTGAAAAACAATTGTCAATATCATTAATTAAGTTAATGGCCATTTAACAAGTAAACTTAGATCTAAAATTAAGAAAAAAGAGTGGCGCTCTTAGGCGCCTTCATAATTTACAGAATTCATATACCTATTTTCTGCTGCTTTTTTGGCTGGGCAGTCAATATCACCAGTTTGGTGGTTGCTCGGCTTTTTGAAGCGGGCGCAAGTAGCGCATTTGGGCGGAGCTCCTTTCTTAGGGCAGTCTTTGATAGAGTGGCCCTCATCTCCGCAGTGACCACATGTTGGAGCGGCAGCCTGGCACGACTTGGCTGCATGACCATACTGCTGGCAGTTGTAGCATCTGGTCACTATAGTGAAGTCTCTCACAGGGCAGGATGTCCAGTTGATGAACAATCTATCTTGCGTTATGAGGGCTTTACGTAGGGCGGCTGAAACTTCAATGATGAAGTTGCAGTGGTCGGCATCTCTCCTTCCTGATTTATGGCTCAGTTTTATTGAAGCCAGGAACGCATCACGGGACAAAGAGGGAAGCTTTTCGGCAATATTTTGTTCAAAAATGCATTTGAACACTTCCTGCTCAGCCATTGAGGTTGGGATTCCTAAGACAATTAGTCGCGGATTACGTTTCTTCGGCTCATCAACGGTAAGTCCAGTGGAAGAGAGCTGGACTGACTTCTTTAGCTTTTCCAAGTCCTCTTTTGTTTCAGTGCTAATAATGACACCGCCGTTACGTATCTTGCGAACGCCACGTACTTTTAAGTTGAGTTCTCCAGGGCAAATGGCTTTTTGTACAATGTTCTTAGTTTCGTCGCTAGTCTTTGATTTATCACTGGGATAAATTGCAACAGAGCTTAATGGGCTTGGTCGAACAAAGTTGTTGGCACCTTTTTTCACCATGTCGGCAAAAGAGCTATTTTGTGGCACGGATTTGGAGCAGGACTCTTTTATCGTCTCTTTAATTTGCGTTAAAGAAACAGCAAGGTCATTTTTTTCTTTGAGGTCCTGTAAGGCATAGTGTTGTATCAATGCCTTATTCTTCAGGGCTTGGTATTGCACAGTGACGTGGGTGAAACCTTGGGATACTTTTCGGCAGAGGTTACTAATTTTCAATTTCTGTTCGGAGTTCAGTTTGCCCTCGGAAGAAATATTGCAGATTTCTTGTAGGTATCTCTCAACTGATCCTGTCCATTGGTGAAGGTCTGATGTAGATACAACTTCAGGTGGGTCAATTTGGACTGGTTGTTCCCGGCACGGTGTTGTCGGCGGAGGGGTGCGGCGAGTAATCCCGCTCCGGTTGAAGGGGCTGCTGTCCATATTACTCGTCGTTGTACACACTTATTGTCATAATTTGGTTTAGTTTGTAGCACTTTACTCACATATAAAATTAAACGCAAAGTAATTACCAAACTAGATCACTATTAATTAAATTCTTCAATTAAGCAATATTATTTTGCATCAATGTACACGTCTATACGCGTTAGAAGTCAATACTCAATCAATAGCGGTAAACCGATAGTGCTGTTAAGATGTAAATCCAAGTCCAAACACGTGTCAGAAAACAAATTATGTGATAGTAACCAATCGTTAAATGCAATGTGGATTATACAAGGTGTAGTTTTGAAACCGTGACGTTTCTCGGGATGCACGGCATGTCACAGGAGTCATAAAGGTTCAATGTAAGAGAAAGTTTCGGGCAATAGTTAAAAAATACGGCTATAATAAATCGTTTAAGTTCGACAGTATTTCAGAAAGGGCAACGGCAATGTTTCTTATTGGAGTTAGGAATAATATCAATTACGTGTTTGAGTTTGTGTGTGTTAAGCTGTGTTATAAAGCTAGTTACAAGACGGCGGCGTGTAGTTCGCACTTACGTATTTCCGTAATTTACAGAAAAATGAAAAATATTTACCTACAATTTTGTTATTGATTCGGACTTTGAATCGATAGCCGAGTTACCTCCTAGAAAATGACGCGGCTTTAAAACAACACCTTGTATATTATGATGTGTATACTCACCTGTCCAGGCGGCGTATGCGCTGTGCTCGAACGGGTGGCGCTGTGTACGCAGGTGTCTCGGGGGTCGGGGGCGTCGCGGGTGTCCCGGGGGTCGCGGAGATCGTAGGAGTTGTGGGGCTCGTGGGCGACTTTATCGGTGACGGCGGCAGCGGCAGTGTCGACATCAGCTCGCACAGGACACCGTGCACCGCATTTCTGCATCGCATCTGCTTTATAGACACGTCATTCTTCATACTATTCTCATAGGATCTGTGCTTATAATAATATAATATGGAGGACCCTGGGACAGAAGTTGATGAGCTTAGACACAGTGAACCATGACAGTGATACCTTTCAAACAGAAGTAGCCCGAGTTGTGGTGGACATGGGTATGAAGACCATACATTTGCCCACCTTAATAAATAGAGAAATCCTGGGCAGAATTTGACGAGCTTTGACGCGATACCATGGTGTGATAGCTTTCAATCAGAAGTAGTCTAACCTGTGGCAGAAATGCGTGGCCGCCCAGACATTTAACGAACTTATAGCTCAAGTAATTTTCGTGAAAAATATGACACTAGGGAAAGTTGGTCACATATTAGAAAAACTTCCACCATCCTTACAGATTATTTAGCAGTATGATATACGAGGATATTCTCCATAATTAAGGAGTTAGAGAATTTTGTTTACGACGTCGTCTCGAACTTACTTCATTTGAAAATTATGTTTATTTCAGCTACTGCCTGTTTAATTTCAGCTTCCACACATCGGCCATTATTAATTTACACTACGGTGGCGTTAGTTCCAGTTAAATTAAAAGAAAATACTTTTTGATATATCGTAGGTTACGTAATTAGCTTTAACTCGGAGCACATAAGGTGAGCCAAACGAAGAGTATTAAAACTTAAAAAATGTGGCTTATGTTTAATTACCTTTCCTGTCGCAGGTCCACTGAAAGAAATTCCAACAGGAATAATTAGAACCTATGTACTTTAATTTTATACAGGGTTATTGGTGAGATCTAGACTATGATACTAACATCATAGTCAACAACTTTTGTTCTACAACATTTTACAAATTATGGTATCTTAGTTTACATAGAGGTACATACATTCTCATGCAAAAAAAATATTTAAATTGAACTCTAAATGTGACGAAGTCTGCGTAGCAAAGCGTCTATTGTAGTGTAAGGGCGAGAGGAGCGGGGTGAGCGGGGCGGTTCAGTATATATTCTATAGTGCGGACGTAATTAACTTTACATGATGGCATATCGATATTCCAATGTCGAGTACACGGAAATGGGGCGAATGTTACAGAGAACTGTAAAAAAATATTAGTAGTTTGTTTTTATTATGGTCTTTAGTACGGAGGTACCCTAAAATATCAAGATTATTTCTATATCGAATAACATCATAACATCACGCCTTTTTATCCCCGAAAGGGTAGGCAGAGGTGCACATTTCGGCACTTAATGCCACTGTACAATGTAACACCCGCTTTTCACTATTTATGTTATGAGTCCCATGTAATAGGGGGTTAGCTTATTGCCATTATACCGGGCACATTTCCAGACTCCGTGCTACTACTGAGATTTTTAAAAACCCAGTAATACTTTGCCCGATCCGGGAATCGAACCCGAGACCCCTTGTCCGGCAGTCGCACTTGCGACCACTCGGCCAACGAGGCAGTCAACCTATCGAATGTTAGATTTTAGCCTGTATATGTGTTATCCTCTGTGCTGTTTGTGTACCTACATGAATTATTAAATAAATTAATAAATATGATACATTATGAATGTATGATATCTATAACAAAATATTAGTGCATACAAAACTATAAGCAAGATAGGGCTGCGCATTATCAGCAACATGGTTAGTTAGTAACTACCGAAACTCTGACTAATATTTTAATTTAAAAAATAAGATAAACGAGTATATTTATATGGATTTTATTGATCCGATATTAAAGTCAATCATTTTTTTAATGTCCGTTTAGTAGATATTTCTTACAAAATTATATACATTCGACGATATACGATTTTTGAAATATCGACTACTACTTACACTATACCTACTTAAACTTACTTACTTACTTGTACTTAAACGCCATTTATCGAAGTATAACTTTTACGAGAAAACAATAATATATACAGGCGGACTAATTAAACTTTTATTTTCAGACACCGACAACTACCCTAGAGTTGTCCTACAATACAGCTACAGCGTTGTCACCGCAGTAATTACGGGCGTGGTCGCGGTGCGCCTGCGCCGCGTCTCAGTAATTAATTAAGTAGGGACTCAATCGATATTTTTACAAAATGTTATCATCACCACATAGACATGTGAGACCGTTGGACAGCCAAACTTCAATTATAATATTTAACTTCTTTTGACACCCTGTATCCTCACACTAACTTTATTCTACTCGAACATTACATAATTTTTAAATAAATAAATGTAATAAATCAGTACGACATAAGTTTCTACAAAAAGCATTTTGTAAAAACTTGCCAAGCCTCGTTCGTCTCTAAAAAGTAATGAAATCTAGACAACGCCGTGCCAAGTCTTAGGTTACTGTGGTTTCTTTATTATTATATATAATGTTGTATGATTTTGCCATTGAAGAAGGTTTAATTTTCAGAAATTGTCGAATGACTGCTCCTGCCTGGGGGTGAAAGTCTGGGGTCAGACTTTTACTGACTAAAAACCACCCCGTTCCTTCTCCTGCACGTCGAGCTGGAGCCCCGGTAACCCGTTAGGTTCCCCCCCACTCCCGAATCGGCATCGGACCTGTTGGGCCCCATCTGTGGTGGTCTGATGGCTTTTTGAGACGCGCGCGGAACGTAACATGCCGTACGCTCGGGTCTGGATCTGATCAGGCGGTGAGCAACCCTTGCTTGCCGTCCGCAGGCCCGTGTGCTTACAGTGCCCGGAGATCGTCTCCCGATCCCCGACGCCCGGGGTGTCTCCTGCGACGGTTGAGGTGTGAGGAGGTTTGTTCCTTTACGCCCCCACTCCTTCTTAGCTAGCATGACTGCTTCGTAGAAGGAGGAAATGGCATCCCATTCCCCCTTGCTCCGTACCATGTCCTGAACCAGAACCGGACGCGAGAGGTCGCCGTCGCCGATCACCCGATCACGTCCAGGACACGGCAGTGCTCAGCCCTCGCAGGACACACCGCCACCCTATGCTTCACCGTGTCTTTCGAGCGGTCCTCGCAGTGATGACACCCAGGCGTTTCCTCCCGCCCAATCAGAAACAGGAACTTTTCGAAACTTCCGTGTCCGGTAATCACCTGCGTCAGGCGGTAGGTGAGGACGCCGTAGCGTCTCTCAAGTCAATCCTCAAAGAGGGGACTTAACGGTGCAATTACAGCGAGCTCAAGTGGTAGTGCCTGCGAATTATATTTGCAATATTAACCTTATTCTGTTGCGTGGTGAGGTCAGAAGAAGGTGGCGGAGGTGAAGAGGTGAACGACCGCGGCGAGAGTGCGGGGAGCTTGGGAGGTGTAGACACTGGCACCAACTGCACCGGGACCGCCGGCGGGCGCACGGAGAAGTAAGCCGACCAGCGCGCTACTGTGCTGCGCGCCACTCCGTCCGCTGTGGCCACGCGCTCTCTGCGGACACCACATTGCCATTGTTCATAGTCATTTATTAGCAAAAAACGTTACATTTAAAACAAACAATACCAGCACCACTTTACATTCGATTATACGCTTGAAAATAACTAATTTGTTAGGGAATGTCTTACAATGAAACATGATTGTAGTGTATCGGGGGTTATCTTAACAAGCCCTGTTGACTATTAATGTTGTACGGTGGAACCATACACTGGTAATGCACTTATGCTTATCCGTGCATTTTTCCTTACTTCATTAATTAATATTAGTCGAGTATTCAGTACATTAATAGCGGTCATCGCGTGTGCTCCCTCGCTCCTTTATAACACTCATAAACCTGTGGTCTGATTATTATATACGTTTTATTATTGACTTTATAACTGCCGTATCATTTCAACTACTACCCAATTCTACATGGTCCTTCGAGCCGACAAGCGGGACCTCGCGAATTTTTTTTAGTATTCGTTACTTCTGAACTGACGTGTATTAACTAACTTGTGAGTGAACTCGTACAGCAATCAGCGTGTGGACTTACAGTGACACGTGTGAACTGTGAATATACTGTTATACCCACAGAACTTTAGCTAAGCGTTGCTACAAAACTGTAGCAGCATAAAGTGACGTTGTGCGTTACGTCAACCAACATAAGCACCGTCAAAAAGCATCCTGCACCGGGTCATTAGCGCCTCCAGGTCAGGGCAATCAGCATCTCAACAGCGAGCAGCAGCAGCACATCGGTATTTAAGCAGCAGTAGAACCTGGTATCTAGAGCAGCAGGGTTTGGGGCCCAACTACAGCAGAGCAACTTCGCCGGAGAACGGCGGCAACTCGGTAGCAAACGATAGCCAGTTTCATGCAAGTAAGATCTTTCCTTATATCTTAAACTAACAGCAGCATGGAGGATCTTTACACCCAGCAACTTGAAATTAGCGAGGCAATCAGGAAAATACCGATTAATGTAAAAAAGGATAGTGCCGATAGGAAATCGGACGACTATTTTAAAAGGCGATTAGAGTTGTTAGAGAGGTATTGGTCAGATTTTCAAAACAATCATCTAGCTTTATGTCAATATGGGGTGAAAGATCACCCATATTTTGTAAATTCTGAGCATGAAAATGCTAGCAAACTTTATACAGCAGCCAAGTCTCTCATAAATGAACAACGCCTGCAGCTGTCAGGCCAGCTAACGCCTATGAAATCCGTAAGGGGTATTCATCTAATACAGGAGCAACGAGAGGAACAAGAATCAGCAAAAGCAGGACCATCAGGTTATGAGCAAACAGCAAAAACCAGCATGTTACGTACAGTGGAGTCAAAAGGTTCCACCAGCAAATTAGATGACATGTTGCGTAAACAAGCAGCTAACTTTAAAGCATTCAAGAGATCATCAGGGTTGATTGACCTGGACTCTATGTCAGAAAAATGGGAAATGGAGGACGCCTTGAAAACACTTCAAGCACGTTGGTCTCAAATTGACGCTCTTCATTGGGAGATAGATAGCGAGTTGTCCGGTGAAGATGGAGTTTACGAAGAACTTTACACTCAGCATGAGAGATCATATCTTCAGCTTAAGAAAATGATCAATAAAAACTTGTGGAGTGTATCGCACCGAGAACACACTACCCCAAAAATGGATATACCTGTGTTTTCTGGAAACTATCAACATTGGACATCATTCAAAGACCTCTTTACAGAGGCTATCCACAACAATCCTGCCTTGTCCCAAGCGCAAAAAATGCAATTCCTTAAAGGAAAGGTCAGGGGCGAAGCAGAAAAGCTTATTCAGCATCTTCCTAAAAGCTCAGATAATTACCATACCTGTTGGGAAATTCTAAACACCGGTATAACAACAAAAAGCTAATATTTACATGTGTAATCAATACCTTACTCAGTTTACCGAACACACAGCATCAATTACTAGGTAATAAAAAAACTGCATGACGTAGCTTTAGAGAGTATACATGCCATACAAAACTTAGGTATTGACATCAGCACATGGGATCCGCTTCTTGTGCATCTATTAGCGCAGAAGCTTGACAACGAAACGTATGCAGATTACATAGACTCGCTTAAAAATTCCAGGGAACTACCAGTGCTCCAGGATTTTTTGGACTACTTAGAAAGCAAGTTTACGTGTCTGGAAACTACTCGTCGAAAGCTAGATCAAGTAACACCGAAATCAGTTAATCACATGAATAACGATGTTCCTGAAAACCAAAAGCAAAAACGACATAACTTCACCTTTGCCAATAAATACAAAAGAACTCCACCCAATTCAAAGGTTTTACATGTTTCTACTACAAAATGTCAATTTTGCGGTCAACAACACGCTATGTTTAATTGCGAAAAGTTTTTGCAATTACCCGACGAAGCAAAACTAAAATCTGTAACAAAATTGAAATTATGTCGAAATTGTTTATTCGATCATAAGGGTCAGCAGTGCACTTCCGTTAGGCGATGTCGTAAATGTAATGCTAATCATCATTCTGTATTACATGACGCTTGCTTAAAAATTTCATCGAGCAACAACGTAGCAACTACATCAACTGACCCAAATGCAATAAACAATGTGGCAATGACTGCGCACGTGCCTCAAAACAATTTAGGAACAAATGAAGTGTTACTAGCTACAGCCTTAGTTAAAGTAGCCTCTGGGAATGGATCGTACCACATCTTAAGGGCTCTCATTGATCCGGGATCGCAAGTGTCTTTAATAAAAGAAAGTACTGCGAAGAAATTAGGATTACGTAAATCTAAGTTCAACGGACTAGTATGTGGAGTCGGTGAGGTCGAACAAAATTGTAAAGGTATGGTCACACTAAACTGTTCCTCAACTCATAACGACTTTTCGTTCATTACGGATGTATTAATCATGAAAAACGTACTGAAAGATATTCCACATAAATCATTCGACACACCGAAGTGGTCTTACATAGATAGTCTCAAATTAGCTGATCCTTATTTCAACATCAGTCGTCCAGTAGACTTATTGCTCAGCGCTCAAGTCATTGGATTGATATTGATGGGAGGACTAATCAAAGGAGAAAATGCATCGCAACCAGTTTTGCAAGAAACACAGCTTGGTTGGATCATTTACGGGGGTGGTCAAATAGCATCATTACAATGCAACGTTGTCATGAATAATGTTCAGGATATCCAACACTTCTGGGATATCGAAGATATAACCGAAAAGTCAAATTTATCTTTAGAAGATCAAGAATGTGCCGATTTCTATTCATCAACTACGAAACGTCGAGAAGACGGCAGATATATTGTTAAATTACCACTAAAAGCAAAAATTAATGAAAAAATCGGCTCGTCTAAAGAGTTGGCAATAGCTCAATTTCAAAACCTGGAACGTAAATTTAGTAAACAACCTTTATTAGCAGAACAATATAAAAACTTCATTAGTGAGTACGTAGCCTTAGGACACATGGTGCCTAGTTACAACAACAATTGTAAGCAAGCGCTATCGTGTTACCTGCCGCATCATTCCGTACAACGTGCAGAATCAGCTACTACAAAACTACGCGTTGTTTTTAATGCATCAGCAAGGATGTCAAGCGGTTATAGCATAAATGACCTTATGTATAAAGGTCCTAATTTACAACAGGATCTGCAGGAGCTGATATTGAAGTGGCGGCAATATCGTTATGCTTACACTGCAGATATCGAGAAAATGTACCGTCAGATAATGGTGGATGAAGCAGATCAGCAATATCAGCAAATAATCTGGAGGTTCGAGCCCAGCCAACCACTACAAACCTACAAGCTAACTACCGTCACATATGGTACAAAGTCAGCACCATTTTTAGCGATGATGACTTTAAAACGCCTAGCTATGGATGAACAAAGCACATATCCAGAAGCAGCTAAGATTCTAGAAGAATCGTTTTACATGGATGATCTGGTCCATGGTTCTCACTCGATTACAAAAGGAAAGCAACTCATCAAAGATCTCAACCGATTATTAAAATCAGGAGGTTTTACTTTGAGAAAATGGTCCGCAAATCATCCAGAACTTCTAGAAAATATAAAGCAGAACAGCAGCAATAGTGAAATTATATTCAACTTCAAATCAGAAAGTACGGCAAAAACATTAGGCCTTCGATGGAACTCTTGCGATGATATGTTCACTTTTAAATACAATATGGCTAATTCAAAGGCGAAAATTACAAAACGATTACTTTTGTCCGAAATATCAAAAGTATTTGATCCCCTGGGTTGGTTATCCCCACTAACCACAAAATTAAAACTAATATTCCAAAGGTTGTGGGAAAATAAAATGCATTGGGATGAAGAAGTTCCGGGAAACATACAGAATGAATGGTTAGCTATAAAAACAGACATGGAATGTTTAAATCAATGCAAAGTACCGCGTTGGATCAGATATCAACCTAATAACGTCATCGAACTGCATGGTTATTGTGACGCATCGACGAAAGCGTACGCGGCGGTTATTTACGCACGAATACAGAAAAATGAAGAATATTCTGTGGTCCTAGTAGCCGCTAAGACTAGACTCGTGCCTGTATCTAAATCTGTATCATTACCCAGGTTGGAACTATGTGGAGCATATTTGCTAGCGAAGTTAATGAATAAAGTTAGTAACTGTTATAGCAAAATGGAAATCCGTATGTATGGATGGACAGATTCCATGGTGGTTCTAAGTTGGTTGCAAGGTGACCACAGCCGATGGAAACCCTTCGTAGCCAACAGGACTAAAGTTATTACAGCAACTATGAAGTCAAGCTGCTGGCGATACGTGAAGTCGGAGGACAATCCAGCCGATGCAGCAAGTAGAGGCATTTCAGCCTCACAATTGAAAAATAAATCTCTGTGGTGGGAAGGGCCGCAATCGTTGAAAACATTTAATGAAAAATTAGTTACACAGCCAATTACTTATAACACGAATCAAGAACTAAAAATCAAATCAACTGTAAGCAAAGTCAATACTGTACAAAATAACAATGCAGCAGAAAGCATTATTTTACAAT